TCCTTTTATCCTACTCCCCCACAAGTCTCAGGTTCTAGTGTGCAGTTTGGTTTTCCGCACGTACAGGTAATTCTGTCCCTTTGTTTCTGGTAGTAGCTTTAAAGAATTGCCCTGGAATCCAGCCTATGTGACTTGAGGGGAAGGCTAATAATATTCCACTTCAAAGGGTTTGGTTTCACGTATGCTAGATGCTGACTTTCATAGGTGGCATTTTTGACAATTCTCCAGTTTTACGTTTATATTGCTTTCTCTCAAAAATTACAGTGTCCAGTCATAAGTTGTCACTTAGGAATTGCGTAGCTTCTCCCATAGTTCTGCTTTCTGAGTTAAGGCCCTGTGATCCATCACATACCTTTCTGGATGGCTCTCAAGAGGCTCTGAAGTAGTTCATCTTCAGCCAGAGTTCTCCTGACTGCGGTGCAAATTTGGACCTGGTAGCTGTCACGTAATCCTGAACATTCATCAGAGTTGCATCCTTTTTTTGTTTCTGGCCACAAGATCCTCTCTGTCCATCTGACAAAAATGCGAAGTATGGTTGAGAAGCAGTGAAACTGTGCTTACTTTGGGAAGGAAGATCATTTGTTAAAGAGCATGGTGCTTTGCTTCAACGAGGCTTTGAGAAACCTGAAATGACAAGCCACCTGAGCGCAGGTGAAAGTTTAAACAGTCACTTTCCAACATGACTGCAGCTCTCTTTTGGCTCTGTGTTTTTTCCCCTTATTGGAGGTGAGTGAAGAAGGGTTTGGCTGTCTGAAGCTTAGTATTATTCTATGCTTATCCAATATATGCAGCACAGCAATCAGTTTTACCTCATTTCTGGAATTTTTTGCCTATTTCTAAGGAGCAGTTGGAATTATTACCCCTTCTTTTCCTAGGAATGAATAAACCTCTGGAGAAAAAGAAATGCTTTCTGCAAGGATGAGTCTTCATACCTTTAAACTGGTGTTCATTCTCCCCCTCTCTTCCTCCCCCACCTCAATTACGAGCAATTGGGTGGTAGTAATTAACAATCTTAGAGAGAAACATCTGCTAGTGCACTTAAGCCAGTCAGTTTGTTTTTCATGAAAGAATGGTATTTCACAATTTTTCCAAGTTAATATTTTTCCTTTATTGTCTTTCCAAATTCAAATATTGTCCAGACGCATTTTTATAGTGTCTTAAGGTTATAGAAGTGAATACAAGACCATTAATAATGAACAAGAAAAGAGAACATCATAAAGAAAACATATGCAGTATTTCAATTCATGAAACATTCTGTTAGGGAACATTGTTTTTGGGAGCATATGGTTATTCCCAGGAGAAGCAATAAATATACATTTTTTTTTTTCTCCAGTGGTGGATTCCCACAACAAGGGTAGGTTCTCTGTGTATTCATCTGTACAGTGCATTCTCTTTGTCAGGACTTGTTATCTGAGGGGGGAGGTAAGTAAGTATTTTTGCACCGATGATATATTGTATGTGGACCTATTTCTGATGGCCCAGACTTTGGAAACACGAGTCTATTAATTCTCCACACTCCTTTGAGATAGCTATCTTGTCTGGTCTAGTTTAATACCGTTGGCATAGCTGAAAAGAAGTTCACGTTGTGAATATCTCTGAGCCTTGGCATGCGGCTCACTGGTGGATCTCTGTTTACAGGCTGCCAGTTTTAACTGTCCCAAGCAGACATTCTCATTTTATTTATAAGTAGGTTCCACATGTGTTTGTATCCTTCACGAAATTGAGCACATGTCAATAGTCAAAAGTAAGTATAGAAACAAGACGCCAAACACTTAATCCTTCTCAGACAAAACAGTCGTACTCCAGTATGTGTTTTTAAATGTTCATTGGGTTTGGGTCAGGCACACGAGGATATATGCACAGACACATTATTTGATCACTCGTAAATATTATTTTGATACCTCCATATTCCCCTTCAAAGTTTCCTCATTTAGATTTCATTTTTTTTTACTGAATGAAACTTGACATCAGGATGAGATCACCAGATTTCCCCATTTCATCTGAGCTCTGAAATGAGTAACTGATTTCAAAGGATAATTCCCTGGAGCAGCAAGGCCAATGAGTTCTTCAGATCAAAGGTCAGCAAAGCTCAAAGAGGATAATTTCTGGCATACAGTATTTAAACTCTCTCAAGGAGTGTACTGCAAGATGTATCCCCTCCTTCCCCAATAGTTGAACTCTTGTTTTTTGAGAAGACTAATTTGTCAGAGCACTTTTTTTCCTCTGTTACATGAATTATGCATTAAAGTGAAAGCTTCTGAACACACGCATCCATGTACGCATCCAGAGAGGTTATTAAACGTGCCAGTGGAAGGGCCATTCCTGAAGCCAGAAGGTAACTCTGCCGTTCCTCTCTGAAGCACTCGGTGGACAGGGTGCTCTGGTGCTCTTTCCACATGCCGGCAGCTTTCAGCACAGTGCAAGAGCGTGGTGGTGGAAGGGAGAGCATGCTCTGTAAGACACTTTTTTGACAGAAAAACCCAACAAAGAACACTGGGGCAGGGTACAATCACCTTGTGCAGGATGTGCTCCTCGATGCCCTCAGAGTGATGTTGTTTGCTGTGCAGTGCCATTCGGGATGCTGTCCCTTAGCAGTTAAAAGGGTGTAGAAGTCTTTTGGCTATTATGTACCTTTATACATTTAAAAGTATTCGTGGTAACAGGGATGGATTTTTTTTCAATTGGTTCTCCGCTGTTCCAACGAAGCTAGGGGTCATGCCAGCCCAGCTTTCATTTATTTCACATTCCCTGGAGCGAGACCGTGAAGGATTGCAAAAAATCCTCCTACAAATGCTTCCATCAGCTTTGCTAGATCTGCTCGCGCAAGAAGCTGGTCGCTGGTACAAATGAGCCACTGAGAATCCAGGGGCATTTTTAACAGTTGTAAGAGCCACTGCCCATGTAACTGACCTTGCTATGAAGGCCCATGTTGCCTTTTCACTTCTCCTTGATTTTAGAATGGAATGAGTCTGGACTAAGATGGACAGCCCAATGTTGTCTTTTGTTTCACAGGGCTCTTTTTGTGGTCGTAACTCTAATATTCCAGGAATATGGAGTTGTATTTATGGACAAAGTGAATATAAAGTAAATGGCCCTTCTTCAAATATGCTTCAAAGTTCTGTCCTGTAAGTTAATGTTTATTTTAATGCGTGCCTTCATTATGATAAACGGTATACAAAAACCTCCTAATAAACAGTCCCAGCTCACCCCATAACCCAGATTAGAAGGACACGGGAAGAAACTGCCGTGAAGTGAGCTTTCTGGTCCTTCAGCTGACCTTCCTGCTTTGCTTCTGTTTAGCGTAGGGTATCCTAACATGACTTGGAGTAGAAATCAAAGTTTATCAGCGTGCGAGTATGTGTATAATAAACTCCATGTCTACTTGCATTTGTACGATGCAAATTACATGTGCTTCTTGGGAAGCTGGTGTTAGTATAACATCAAAACTGTCAATAAGTGTCTAAGTCGGGAAATTCCAAAGGTTAGGGTTTCTACCTCATTCCCCTTCTTTACTGCATGTCCACAGTCTTTTATACCACAGTTTTGAAACCCCCAAAATAAAGGTAATACAGTAGTGTTAAATCTAAACTGGGAAACAAGACTAGAAATCGTGATGTATTGCAGTGTGGCAGTGTGAATGTGGCAGAAATCTTGGCTTTTGGAATTTCTGAGAGTATAAAGCTATGGCAAGGGTAGGTTGATTTGTTTTGTTGTTTCGCTAATTATACTATTCTAAACGTGAAGGAAAATGCTGAAAGAAAGCTAATATAATGTCTTAGTGTGTAGCATGTTAATGACTTGCTTTCCTGGGAGGATGCTTGGGAGGCACCTCAGTAGTGCTGAACACCGGGAGAGCCGCAGACTAAACCCAGTTTGAAATGGGTCATCCTGAATTGGAGGGGATCATGTCTGCTTTTTTGTAAGGAATCTGACTTTACTGAACTGATGCTTCCATGGGCTCTTACTTACAAAAGCATCCCCAGAAACAGTTCCTACATAGCACTAGCATAAAGGCTTTGCGTAAATGCAAATGCTGCAGTACAAGAGAAAAAATGCCAACTTTAAGAATTCACATTCTCGCAGTGTCTTCCATTTTGGAGGGAGTAGGCAGGATTGCTGCTATGCGTAATGAAGTATGGGCATAATATTGTTGGCAGAGGTATGTGGATGGATAAAAAATCATGTCTAAAATGTTTGAGGGTACAGTTAGAAAAAAATCTGTATATTTTCATAATGAGTACTGAATAAATTTTCTTCAGATATAAGGTTTCATCATGTGCAAGGCTGAGTGCCTCTGCAGGAGCCAGAGGCACTGCTATTAAGTTTCTGGACATTTGTCTTTCAATCCACATGAGAGGTATATATATATCTTTGTTATATATCTGATACATGTTATGCTACAGTATGTAGTGATACATGTCTGATAGATGTTAATATTAATTCTCCTTATGGATGCTATTGACTTACCCAAGGGCATAATCGTAAACTTTATGTGAAATATACCTTTTCACAGATAGTTGAAAAAAATGCAGCTTAACCTTTTTGGCAGGTAGCATTACCTTTTTGGAAGGTAGTAGAGTTTGTGTGTATTTGAGGAGGGAAATTGGAACAGGATGAGGACTTCATTTCAGCTTCATTACTTCATTCACTGCTGGTGAATGCAAGTGTTTTTGCAATATGTCACAAACTTTCAATATTTTGCAATATTATTCAGCTTATTTACAGTAACAGTTCTGCTGATTTATATTCTCATAATCCTGTGTTTGAACTTCCTGTGACTCCAGTGATGTTTATAGGAGAGGCTGTGTACCAAAAGCTGTTGGTAGATTGTCTGCAGAAATTATCCCAGATGTGTAGTGAACACAAAAGCAAATCAAGTATAATGATCCTCTCACACAAGTTTGCTGAAATCACTTTCACCCTAAATAGACAGATTTGCAAATATGAGACTGCTTTGACATTTCCTTATAAGTGTTCTTTCTTCAATATATTTTTCACAGTGGCTTTGCCTCCAGAGAAGACAGATGGAGTTTGCAGTGGAGATGAAAAGAAAGCAGAAAAAGAAAGTGACACACGCACAGGTTCCAAGAAACAACTGAAATTTGAAGTAAGTCCTCTATGTTTTAAAGTTTCATTGTACTGACATAATTATGGTAGAAAGGTAACCTGTGGACCAAATCGCGTCCTCTGATGGGTGCATATAGCTCCGACGATTGTAATGGGTCCAGGAGGAAGCAGAATTGGCACAAGTCAGTGTCTCACTATTGGTGCTCATTCTGAGGTGATTAGTGAGATTGATTTCCAGGTTTGGAGAGGATCAAATGATGACCATTCCTCTGTAGGATCTGAAATGTATAGTAGGAAGAGGCATTCAATTTAACCCTTTATCTAGGATCCTTCCATTAGTAATTTATTATGCCCGCTACCATGTTACCAAATCTGTAGGTCGACTTTCATGGATTATTCCACTCGGTTAAATCTGCCGAGTGCAAAAGGTTTTTGTGAAAGCTTCCTTAGTCATCGGTCTTCTGTGCCTGGGCCTCCTAAGTGAAATTGCCCTGACCTGCTACATGGGAAAGCCATCTGACCTCATGGCAGGAGGAAGAGGGTCCTGGAGGGCAGTGATGGTCTGTTTTCTTGTAGGCTTACAAACATCATAAAACGGCCAGACACTGTGTGTAGTTGGCAGGTTTTGTTTATAGAGGGAGTGATTTAATAAATATGAGTATTGAAACATGCTGTCATCCAGCTCGAGGGTTGTCTGGCTTGGTGAGGAGGAAGATAGTCTGGGACCGGCAAGAAACAGCACGAATTTTCATCTTTCCGCACTCCAGCAGACGTGGCAAACTTCTCCCTTTCGGTGCTGTCAGCCTGTCACAGTAATGAGCTTTGCGTTCCTCAATTGTTATTTAAAAGGCCATGCAGCCCCCTTCCAGCACAGCTCGAGCGTTCGTTTCCTTCTCTAGAGCAGATTTAGTAGTCTGGTACGATTTATTTTTTACTGTTTTAAGGCTGGTTAGAAGGAGGTAGCTTCCCCATGGGCAGTGCGGGTGTTGCTAGGTGCTCGTGTGCCTTCTGGGGGGAGGGGATTTTTCCTGCCTTTGTTGTTTTTTCTTTGCACAGCGATAACTCTTTTTCTAGGCACATTTTATGTTCTACCTTGAGTCGCAGACATTTGCCGACAGGAAAGGCATGATAAATTGCAATTAACGGTGCCTTGATATTTGAACGTTGGGGGACACCTGTCAACACGGCGGGTGCCAGCGTCGCTGGAACTCCACCGTACCGGCAGTCGGCGTTTGTTCCCAAGTAGTTCTTGGCATGCCGTAAAGGTTAGCGCTTGGTACTCGGCTCCGTGACTAATGCGGGGAAGGTTGCCACGGCTCTTAACTGAGCAGAGCACATCCTCACATAAAGATGTTATGTTAGGCAATGTGGGACAGGGAAGTATTAATACACGGCAAGCAGCCAAATATTGATATTTTTTCCCTTGTTCTACAAATGACAGTTTTCCAGCTATGTAAGCTAGGAGCTGAGAGATGGGTAAATGTTTCAGACGTATCAAAGAATCAGAAACGCAAGGGTTGAGACAAGAGGTCTAAATCTGAGGTGGATGTGATTTGGCTTTTAAAGGTGCCGGGAATGTTTATGTAATCCAAAACTGCCTTTCCACAGTGGAGTGTGGGGCACTTGGCAGCTTTCAGCAGGGCCTGTTACAGGGAGGGAAGGCTGCCTTTGAACTCAGCAGGGGACAGGGGGTACCGCTAACTGCTGTAGGGAATTGGTTTCAAGTGAGAAGATCAACCAGGTATTTTGAGCTCTATCATGCTGAAGCTATTTGGAGCTGTTTATTTTACGTGCATACAGTGGCTTTCATTTTAATTGCACTGTAACTGTTCTGTTTTGCCTTGTTGTGGCTCTGGATAATTCTGATTGCACAGGTCTTGAGAGAAAGCAAAGGATTTGCACCCAGGTGGCTGGAGTTAGTCAAAGGGCGTCCTTTGTTCTTGACTGCAGTCTTGGTTTTGGTTGGGGGATTTTTTTCCCTTTAACAAATTGATTCTTTCAGGCTTTCCACAGATCACACTCTCACTAACAGCCGCGCACGTAGCGCTGGGACCAGGCACTACTCACAGGTTGTTCCTACCTGCCGGTTGGTTGCCAGGCAGGCTCCCTTTCAGGAGCCTCAGTGGCACGATGCTGTTCTGCACCGACTCTGACAACCTTTGGGTATCAAATATCTTTGTCAAGGGCACGGCTCACGGCTGGGGATTTGTGCCACGTCCACTTTGTGTTACTGACTGCTCCTGGCAGTGCGGTGTGTCACCTCGTTCTGTGGGTCCCTTTCTGTTATCTTTCTTTTCCTGAGCTAAGCAGAGTTTTCTTTCTCACTTTTTAGGGGAAAATCTTATATTTCAAGAGTTCAGGCAGAGGTTTTCTTGTACCTTGTCGTGGTTTCTCCAGTGAAGTAGAAAGCATCTTGCAGATTCCCTGAAGTCTAGCCCAGGGTTAGGATTATCATGTGATTGTGATGACAGTCCTTCGGTGCAGTGGACAGAGGCCTCCCTGGGACATATCCTGAATGCTTCCTCCCACGAGGGAGGGAGGGAGCAAGCAACCTCCTTCTACGGAGAGTCTCCTCTGCAAGCAGGCCTTTTGCTTTAGGTAATGAGCTGCTCTTTGCATGTTTCTTAGGAATTGCAATGTGATGTGTCTGTAGAGGAAGATAACAGGCAAGAATGGACCTTCACACTGTATGACTTTGATAACAACGGAAGAGTCACACGCGAGGTAAGCAAAGTACAGCTGCCCCTTTGTGCGCAGCGTTTGCTAACAAGACAAGTGTTTTGTAACAGGAACATTTTTTCTTCTTTGAAATAGAGGTGTCCTGCCAACTTCAACAGTAGTTTCCATGGACCCTTCCCTCCTAGAAACAATCCCACCAGTAGTTTACTCTCTTCAGATGTACTGTACCACGTTTGAAGCTGGTGGTTGTTTAGTAACTGGGATTAGCCTTTAAAAAATAGTACTGGCGTTTGAGAAGGAAAAATATCTGAAACAACTGAACGACTAAACACACTGTCAAAATAAACCCCTGCAAATGTATATTGTTCTGGCTTCTATCCTGCTTTTCAGAGTTAAGCTAACCAAATAGCAAGGTTGCTTTCTGACATTCTTTCTAGCAGGACTATGTATACTGTTGGGTTGTTTTTGTGAATATTAGGCTGATCTCTGCCTTCTCCCTCCAAGTATAAATAACATTGATGATACTTGCTGGAGGACCTAGTGAATGACTGTCAAAGCATGCCCGTGTGTATTTTTTATTATCAGGGTGTCTTCAAGTCGTATTTCCTGTTCAAATAAGAAGGTCAATAAGAGGATGTGTAGATTAGAATACAGTCCTTTTTCAGAACTATTTCTGTTGAAATTGAATGATACTTGAATTCAGTTGAATTCTGGAAGAATTTCTTTTACTGAGATTTACTGCAATGTGCTGTCATTGGTGTTTGGTTTCTTTTTTGTTTACTGGCTCCCAGTAAACACACCTTCAGATAATCAGGTGAAAATGGACAGGTTTTGTCTTTCTTGGCTCTTATACTGGTGTCTGTGAAAATGACTAAGAACTAGTTGAAAGGCACAAGGTAAACACTGAAAGCGTAGTGGCCTTACACACCAATGGAGGGCAGGGTTTTTTTCCTAGAAAACTGAAGCAAATCTCTTCTGACATTTATGAACAAGTTGCCAAATGTGATGGTTGTTCAGGGTTTTTAACATGTATATGAATATCATTACTAGGCTTTTTTATTGTCTCTGCTCTGATAGTGCTTTGAATAGTCAAATGAAATCTGTGCCCCTCATGCAAGCCAGTAAGAAGATGAAAAGTTACAGGCCATGTCCAGAGTTTCAAATGGGAACACGAGAATATATACAGAGAGGGCAAGGAGAAGGGGGTGGGGTGAGGAAGTAGTATTGTATTCGTTAACGTATGGTGAACAGAGACCAGAAAAATGAAATATGTTGCCTGAAGTCTCACAAGAACCTAGGGGCAGATTGAACCCAGATCTTTTGAGACCCAATGCTAAGTCTTCATTACAAGATTATCATGACTCTCAAAGAATAGGGGAAAACTACACAAAACCCCAACCCACACACATGGGTGTCCTTTACATTCAGGCATGGAATTCCCATTAATGTCAGTGGGAGTTCCATGTGCTGAACATAACAAGAATATGCTTTTAAGTAGGTATACAATAATTATTTCTGATTATGTGGTACACCAAAGAACTTAATTTGACTGTACTTAGAGAATATGTTACAGCTAAATACTATCTCTCCCTGCTACAAGAGCAGACTGCAGCTTAACTGAAACCAAATTTGTTCAGGGATTGAAAATTATACTACTCTGAGGTCTGGAGGTTGCTATATTCAGGCTTGAACCTGTGCCAAAAAAAATTCTTTTAAACAAGGGACCAAATAGGTTGATAATTTTCAGCTCTTTACATGTGACCAAAGATAGAAACAAATAGTAAGCACCATTGCAGCGTTTCCCGGTTATGTTACACTCTTCTTTTGCAAGCTGTTCCAGTGCCATTTGTACAATCCATCTTGTTGGTTGCCTTCTTGAATCCAGATGCAATTTAAGAGTTTTTTGTGCAGGAGTGACTAACGATAGCAGCTCACAGATAGTCTTGGCCACAAAAAGGGAATTTCATTCTCTTCATACAACATAGAATTTCTTGTTCTATTAGCCCCTGAGAGACTGGCAGTCAACACAGTGGGCCTGATTCTGTTGGTTATTAAGCAGCTCTGTTCCTGATCCAGCAAAGGACTTAAACGATGGAGAACATTAAACATGTAAATAGTTTCAATTAAAAGGAATAGGACACATGTTTTGAGTTAAAAGTATGTGAAGCACATTGCTGGATCCGGGACAGAACAGACTGAGGGATGGGGGTGATCTGTAGCACTGCCATTTAGTGAGCCGATGGAAATGTTTCCAGAACGGGTCAGCTTTTCTAAGCAAAGGTCCAGCATTGTGGTGAGAAAAGCTTAGTGTGGACTTTTTCTCCTTTGAAAATTTCACTCTAGTGTCTCCTGGATTTATAGCTGGATTTAACAGAGAGATGAAGTTTCTTAAGTCAGATTTCTATCTGTAGACCTTGAGGTGCTTTACAAAAAGAAGTCAGCCTTATCATGCTTGGTTTTGATGCTGAAAAAATGAGACACTGCAATAGGAAGTGACTTGCCCACCCACATCCATTTCATTTGATTCAAAGTCACTGTGTTTGAAACATTGGACTTCATGTCCAGAGAGCTTCCAAAGTAGTGCACAGTGTTAAATTAGGTTTGTAAGAGACGTGGGTGGGGTGCGGTTTTACAAGTGGACTAAATAGCTTTTTTCATTAAAATGTTTGAAAATTGTAAAAAATATACGGATTTAGTTACTGGATAAAATTTCCCTTGGGTTTTACACGATGACAGATCACCACAAGAGCATTCAAATTCCATTTTGGTGAAATTTCTTCTGGATCTTAACAACATTTTCAGGACGTAATACTGCTTTGATTTCCTCCTCAAGTCTGTATGACTTACTCCGTAGTCCTCGTAATTAGAAATTCAGATCTAGTCATGCTTCTTGAAGAGATACACCCATTATGAAAGCATAATTATTGGGATGGCAAATTATAAAATTAGCATTACTGTATGTTATTTAAACACTGTTTTTTTTCTGTCACAGAAGACGACCATTTTTCAGTCCTTTTGGTGTAGTGGGAGATAACTTTTCCTGCTCTAATATGTATATTACAAAACTTGGCTAATAATGTTTCCCTTCATTCCATAAGCCATAAGAGGACAATTCATTACGTACTGCAGGCCTTTTTAGAACTGACAGCTGCACTGTAATTATCTTCACATGGATATTTGTAATTGGACTTCAAACTTGGGTAATTGAACTAATGTGTTTTGATCCATGAGGTTTTATATTGAGCTCTTGGTAATTATACTTCATAAACACTAGCCCTTTTTTTTTTCCCCACAATCATTTTTTTTTTCTTGGAAAACTGAGTTTCTTTGGGGAGTGGCTGCACAGGAATAAGCACACAAGAAAGTTGCTTGTCAGGAGTGAAAAAGGGAATTTCTTCTGGCGTAGTTGTTGAGTAGATAGCAAGTGAAGTTCCTTTCAGGTTCCAAATGAGAATGATTCAAAAACATATGTGATCAAACAAAGATGATGTTGCAATAAAAACATCCTGCTGTATGTAAAAATCAGGATACAAACAAAGTACAAATGAGGCATTTCTTTTTCTGAGGGAAATGTGATGAACTGATATTGATGTTTCTCTTCATGCATTTTTAATGCTAAAAATGTTCTTTGTGTTTACATTAAATACACAACTTTTCTTCTTACGTTTCCTTTCTTTTTTTTTCTTTCCCTTTTTGGTTATTTTTGCTCATATCCTCTGTAATGGGTGAAAAGGTTTGAGGTGATTTGTACATTCAGAACTCAGTACCAAATCTTTGACTTGGGGAAAGATACTGGCTTTTTGGGGCTACCATTTATCAGCCTGACCCTTATCTTGAAAATTGCTGGGTTTCACTGTGTCTTTCAACGTTGTATTAACTCATGATATGGCAGACCAAGGGGACCCAGGGATGGAGGAGCAGTGCCTGTCTGTATCAGAGGGGCCATCAATTCAGCCATTAGATTTGGTGGATTTGTGTCAGAGAGAAATATTAAAAGAAAATATGACTTCCTCTTTTGAGGGGAGCCAAAGACATCTCTCCCAGGCAAGTTACAAAGAATCAAACTGAATGTTTTCTTCCAGTGTTATTAAACTCATTGGGTTTGGTTGTTTTATGGAGTTGTTTTTGTGGGTTTTGGGTTTGTTTGTTATTTTGTGCTAATATCTCATTCTGTCGAATTAATCATGCTGGAAAAACCTCTTAGTTTCCTTTACAGGCTCCCTAGTTTGCTAGCTAGTCCTAAGATCATAAACTGTGTTAATATTCGAAAAATAGTCAGCCCTGTACCACTAGTGTTCATTAGATGTAAAACTAATACCTGGAATAGGGACTTTCTCAATCAGGTGAGTCCTGTAAGGGATGAAGAGTACTTCAGTGTAATTTGCTCTTGTTCTGTTTTGCAGACTCATTAGTTTCTCTGAATGTTCTCAATTTCTGCTAATCTCCTACTGGAGATCTGTGAAGAATTCTGCGGATACGTGTGTGCGCGCAGCATGCATGTGTGGCCTTAACTGTTTGCCTTCTAATGTTTTTAATGCAAGTATTTCTGGCGATCTGTTAAAGCTGCTCTTTTTAACATACTTTGTATTAGCTGCTCGATAAAACAGGAGGTGAAAAACATACAGATTAGCACTGTTAGATCCTTGCTAAAACAACTGTAGTGTTCAATAAGCAGGACACAAATGAATCTGGGTATGGCATATGCTGGCTGTTTGGATACTACCCAGCAAGCATTTGTTTTCCTCTTTGAGGAAAAATATAGTTTCAGTTTTCTTACCTGATTAAATGGGCTATCCCAGCAGGAATTCTGCATGCTAGATGCACTTCATAGGTTACTTAGATTCGTGCAGCCTACTTCCCCTCTAAATATAATCTGTTTGCTATAAAGAAGAGAAATCTTTTTTCCTCTTATTTCTCTTTACCTGTTTAATATACTCATTTAAAAATCCACAATGATTTTTGACTAGAAATTATTTAAAAGTACATTTCAGTAAAAAAATCCAAGCAAATTATATTTTTTGAAAAATGGGAAACACTGAAAAATCAGTTCTTATTTAGTTTTTGTGTAAAAAGTGACGAAGTTTGAGAAATGTGGGCTGACACTTCTTGTGTGGGAGGTGCCAAGCAGTTTTAAACAAAGCAGTTGCAGAATGGTGTGACTAGGAGAAACTGTGATCCATTGCACAGCAAAATTAGATTCTTTGGCAGGTGGTCTCTGAGACACGTTGGTTGGTGTACCAGAAGAGAGGAGAATTTAATGACAATTTAATTTCTTGAGCTTTGAAGCTAAATTTCTTGAGGACAGTGAAATGCACAAGCTGGTGTGTAGAAGGTAAAGCTGTCTCAGTGGTTTGAGGCAGCTCTTTGAGGAATTTAAATGCAGGTAATGTTCAGTGGGACAGCTTTCAAGGGGAATATACATTGCCTCAGTCGCCTGGGGGGCTACTGGAAGATGAAAATTCTTTTGGAGGTAAATATAGACATAACTATAAAATACAACTTTTGTAACATATATTTTAATAGCCTAGTGCTACCAATTTGACAAGAAGCTGTTACCATATTAGCTGCCAAAAAAGGTCTGTGAGAAGGTAGTTTTGGTCACTGTTCAAAACACGTTGAGGAAGACCATTCCTACCGGATGAGTGCCTCAGGAATTTGTATGTTAGCACTGTGAAGCAATAGCTGGAAAGCAGCAGGAGGTTCAGGCTGCCTTGCACCTGGTACCCACTCGGCCCAGACCTGGGTAGGTGACAGAGTAGCGAATGGCCCAGGCAGCCCTGTTTGACCAAATCAGAACTGTCAGTTTGCTAGAAATTCCAACCGCATATTAGGACCACAAGTAAATGAATCCTATAATAAAAATGTTGTTGTCACTGTTTAAAAGATCAGCGTAAGCATTAAGCGGTTACTTATGGATATCCCTAACCTCGATCTTGGTATATATCCAGCGTGACGACCACGTTCATTCAGTGCCAGAATGCAGAGCGGGTCAGATGGCTGCGGAGGAGGCTGGGTATGTAAGACATCAGGCAGTGTACAGCAGGGCCTAAGGCCATATGGTGCCCTGAGACCTCTGTGCAGCCCCTTGAACTGCTTGGAGCCTGGACATGAATTTGGGTTCATTCAGGCCTGCTTGGCTGAGAGATGTGAACTGTCCTGATGTGCTACGTGCATGCATGTATTTCTGACCTGCCAAGTGTGTGTCACACAAATGTTGCATCTGGCCTTCCTTGGCTGCATTGGGGAGCACTTTTAAACTGCTGAGTCAGGCGGCTTGTCGAGAAAGACCCTCAGGGAACACAAGGGGCAGCTTGTATGCTGGTTAGCAAGTTAGGCCTCATCACTGGAAAAACATCACGGAAAAAGACAGTGGGACTAAAGCCTTCTTGTCTTTGTCTATTGAAGTTAAAGTAGACTAGATGATCAGCTTGTAGAAACATCTGGCATAGCTGAAAAAAGGAAGGGGGACAGATTATTGTGAATGAAAGAGTTGGTAATAACCTCTTGAGAGTAGCCTTATGTGGAAAGATGCCATGTTGGCTAACCAACACTTGTTAAGGAATGTATGGGAAAGGCTCCATTCACCAAAGTGCTGAGTGTTTGAGGCCCCGTTAAGAATGAGTATTTTGCTGAAGGGGAAGGTTTGGCATATCACGGTGTGGGATTATAGCACAAGGGTCCTAGAGCATAGTTTATGGAGAGCATATAAAACAACAGATATATTTTGTTTGTCGGTCTGTTTATGTTCTTGCTTGGTTGGGTTTTTTCTCATAGAGGGAATAGAAATCCAGCCCTTCCAGCTGGCTGTCAGATATGGCTGTCTATTTAGAGGGCTGGCTAGGTTTCAAATTAGAGTGGAAGTGTGAGAAGAGGGATGTGTTAAAGAGCTGTGAGGTGTCCACCAGATTGTCACTGAGCAGTCTCTCCCTCAGTCAGGCTTTGGACAGCGGTTCTTGTCAAAAGGATGGAAAGCAGTTACTGACATGGTAGGATCAGCCCAGATATGGAGACTTGCAGCACCGGTAGAAAAAATATTTTGGTGGGGAAGTAAAGGAGAGACTTCAAATTCTGCTCTCTTTTTATGAATGTGTTGTCTTGAAGTCTGGAGAAATTCCACAGAGTGCAGAAAAGAGAGAGGGTACATGTTAAGACGAAGTCTGGACCCTCTAGAATTGAGTTACCCATTCTGTCTCTTGAGCTGGAAAATCATCTACTGAAAAATCATTTGTCTTAGCCATAATGTCAGTATTTCCTTAAATTCTGTGTGAGTAGAAATTAGTATTTCTGTGTCCCCTTTAAAGCTGGTTAGAAAATGAGGACTGCTGAAGTACTGGGACCCATCAGGGCATACTAAACTTCAAGCTGCCATTGTTACAGGCATGACCCCTGGTCAAATGAAAAACTGTAGAGGTTTTTAATTTTTATAGACCTCAATCCTCAGAACCAGTTACACTTAACAAAGGATGAGGTAGATGTTTACTTTGTGCTTGCAGGTGTCTGCAAAGACCTTAGGTACCAGGATAGATCAAGGAATAGGAAGACCAGCATGGAGAAACTCTCAGATGTACATTAAATAGGATCTTTATAGCCTGCAGTGATCAGTATGATTTGGCCTTAGGTTGGTGCCCAAGATGAATTTGGGTGAAATCCCTTTGGGGAAAAGCAGTGAGCCAAGAGATCTCCTTTTCACCTGGCAGTTTAAGGTAGTACCCTATTTGAGCCTGGCTGGATCAGATCTATCTGAGAGACCTTTGAGCTACTAAGCAGTGTTTCTCCTGTTTGAAACAACTGGCTTGTTAAAATTGGCTAGTGTTCTTTCTGACACAACCAGACATGTAAGCATTTGTTCATGTCCCATTGCCTTCAAAGAGATGTGTGAAGAATGCTCTGTAATAGGACTGGCTGGATAGTCTCAGCTGCTCATGTAAGTTTAGAACTGGTTTGAATTTTGCCAAATAAGCTAGTATGGTCGAGTGACATTCAGATGTCATTTATTTCAAACCTGAGGTTTACAATTCTGCTACTTCCCTTACTGGTTTTCCTTTATATAATCAACCATTCAACTATCCCAAGGAAAAAATAGTAGTAAGACTCTGATGTCCAAGATTTTCTTCAATTGCTGTATTTGTTTTGGGCACATGAACTCAATTTTTAGTGCAGCATGAATGGCTATCCCTGGGTTCTGCTGAAACCGAAGAAAAGAAAAAGCAGAACACAATTTTGCTGATTCACAGTTTGGGAAACCTGAGTATTTTATGCTTTTATTATGTTTTTGATCTGGTTTGCCCTATTTCCTGAATCTCATGCCATTTGATAAACAAGAATATGGATCTACTTGAATCATTCCCTTCTGTGTCTGTGAGGTATATTATAGTCTGCATTAAAAAAAAATGGGGGTTAACAGAAGAGACAAATGGATCTTTTCTTGTAAGGTGCTGTGCCAGGTCAGCTCTTTTCAATGTCAGTGACTTCTGAGAATATTTCAGCATGGAATAGACCCAAGTCTAGAATAGTTATAAATATGGAAGCTGTAGGTTTCATGCCATTTTCACAATAGTGTGTCTTTTTGTGTTTCAACCCAACTATAGGACATTACCAGCTTGCTTCATACCATCTATGAGGTAGTTGATGCATCAGTAAACCATTCTCCTAGTTCCAGCAAAACTCTGCGGGTGAAACTTACTGTGGCACCAGATGGCAGCCAGAAGAAAAAGAGTATCTTGTTAAATCATACCGGTAAGGATGTGCAATCAGCCATTGGAAAACATACAAAAAAACTTCACAAATTCCTTAAAAATCCATTTTCACATTTAGGTAATGCAAATAAAAATATACCTAGAAGCAAGTAATTATGTGGGGATTTGAAACCCCATGACCCTGTTTTAGGATCTCGGTGCAAATTTGCCTACCCTCTTTTCAGTGTCTTTCAAGCAAATCATCGTTCCCTCCCCAGATTGATTGTTTCCTCTTGCAGCAGCAATAACCCATATGTTGTGTAATTGTCTGTGTACTGCAAGGCAGATTTAAGGCCTTTTCGACTTGTACTGCTTTAACTCTGCTGATCTCACAGTGCTCGATTTATGTGGCAACAGGTGTAGTGGTATAAATTTTTTTTTCAGGTGCATAGCTATCACTGCTGCTAGATAGGAATTATTAATTAAGCATATGTAACCTTTATGAATTGGTGCATAAAAACTGCATATTTTCTGTACTGGCAGAGTCTGCCATTATAGAATGGCTTATACTGTGATGGCTTATTCACCTTATATGCACTCTAACAGTTGTGGCAGGATAATTACTTCAGTAGATAAAGTAGTACTAAATTAAAATACTTAAAATTATTTAAAGTAATACTTCAGTAGAAAATGTGGGCACCTTATCCAGAAAGAGAGAGCCTTCTTACCTCACTTTTAATACATACTCAGTCAGGTGCAGACATAAACAAATTTGCACTCCTGGGGAGCTCTGTGATGCTTTAGTACAGCACTGAGCTCCCAACAACCAAGCCCTCCTGAGGGACAAGTGTATCGGTGTGAACGTGGCTGCACTTAGCCAGCCACATGGCTTGCAGCCTAACCCTGTCTGCTCTCCTACAGCCAAGGTTATGTCTGCCTAAAATCTGTCATGTGGACAAAAGCACTTTGAGAAGGTTACACCAAATGGTACGTTACATCTTGATCTCCTGACAAGAGAAAAAATGTATTTACAGTGTAGCATGTTAGTTATGCTGCTCGGCAAGGACAGTAATGTGGGAATAATGTACTTTCTCTTGTTGGCAGATTTGCAGAGTGCCAGGCATAGAGCTGAAAGCAAAGCTAATGAAGAAGTGAGAAGCTCTGAGAAGAAGCAGCGGGCTTCTCTCAGGTAAGGGGAAAGAGCCCTGTCTCATGACAGGCACTGGGTACCTCTCAGGAGACCTCAACCACTGATTTCTTACTTGCTTCCTTGCTTTATTTTTTAAAAAATATCTTAAAATAGAAGAAATACAGGATTTTTCACTGTGGAACTGTCAGTAGATTCCATGGGTGGATACTTTGTATATTAAGCAAATCTGCAGTGCCCAGTACTCAAATTTTCTTCTGTTGGCTCTTTGTAGGACATGCAGTGTCTTTTTAGATGCCATCTGCAAGAATTGTGCCTACTAGTGAGGTTTATAGCACAGCCTTTTGGCTAAAAGTGTCCTAACCATTTTCAACTTCATGAGGGCCAGCTCCTGCCTTTCTCTGTCCTCCTTCCCGTCCATCTTTTTCACTGGTCAACTCAGCGCCAAGTTTTATTAACTTGATCTTGTTTAGCAGGTCATAGCCAGGCCTGCTTCTCCTTACCACCTTTCCTCCTAAAGGAAGCCGTTTTGAGCTGGCACTGGGTACAGTGCCTGGCAGAAGGAGGGAGCTGTTTGCAGACCATCAGCTTTACAGCAAATGGTCTACACAGGCTACGTCCCCCGGAGTTAGTGACGAGCAAGAGCTACCAGCATGCTGCTTGCTCCGTGCTCCGTCCTGCTGAGGTGGTTCTGGCTTATGGCAACTGTGGGGTGGCTCAGCTCCACTTGCAAAGCGTGTTTGTACTTTTGGTAGAAGTAAATTCACCTCTTTGTTACTTCACAGTGACTAGCAGAGTGGCTAGCTCTGCTGACTCCCCCCTGCCAGAAACCATGCTTCCCCATGGCCACGTTGGCTTTAGGTCAACTTCTCCCTTAGGGAATTGGTTACTAGGTAGTACCATGTAGGAATTAGCCCGCTTGCTTAGAACCAATATATTTAGTGTAATCTTGCAGGAAAATTTGGGGTTTTTTTTAATAAGTTTCAGAATAAATTTCACCACTTGAAAAAATACCTGGCTGTTGTCTTTCAATGGAATCCAGCCTGTGTGACTCAGAATGCACCGCTTCCAATAAAGCACAAGCACAGTGGTTTCTTTTATGAACAGCTGCAGGTACATTTGCAGCCATCTACAGATTAGATACAAAAGGGGTTTCAGTTCTTTCCTAACAGAATGTACAGTATTTTGGATGCCAGTCCAGAACAGGTCTTTTTCCTCTGAAAATGTGTAATCATGTGTATCTACCCTGTTATCGGGAGTTCTACCTCCCTGACAGATACTGCCTGCACTGTTTCAGTGTGTGTGATAGTCATTCACAATGCATTTTTCAAGTAGGGAAATTTTTTGCAGTGAAGAAAAATGTTAATCTCTGTCACATGTAGGTGTGTTACTCCTTTTCTGAATTTAGTATTTTAATGGATAGAAAAACAAATCAAAAGCAAGTGATTTTCAAGCATTTTAATGTAGATCAGTTGCTCCAAACAGGTCACGTATATAGGTATGCCCTGTTTTAGGATTTTATGTTTCACGCTAAGGCAGAGGGAAGTGTTTTCTAAAATGCTACAGGAATGATACTGAATCACTAGTTGCATTTGTTTCTTCACCTACAAATTTAAAAAACAAATCAAAATCCACTTTTGGTTTTCCTTGGGTTTAGGGATCTTTGTCTGAATACATGATAAATTTATCAGGAGAAGGAGAATTCAGTCTTAATAAAAATGGCAACAAAACTGTGCCTCCCTTTTTTGGATGGAGTAAAAATGCTAGTGAGTGATCCCAGTGAGTAAATCGCAGTACAATCACATTTCAGATTAAAACACAACTAAAATCACTTCTAATCTTCTGTTAGCAATTCTGTACAAAACCCTCTGTGAACTGAAAAATACTCTGTGGTTTTGCTTGCTGGTCTAGATGTGGTGTTCAGATTCCCTCTGCCCACTAGCAAAGGTTTGCCCTGTGTGAATGTAGTGGATTGTTTTTGTTTATAATCTATTGCAAAAATCCCCTTTCAGTTTGAAGTCCCCCCTCCCATCCACCTTATGGTCCTGGTTTCACAAATGTAGTTTTTTTATGGACAGGAGCTGTTTCCATTTAAATCCACAGTCACAGAGGCATCAAACGTTGGGGTAGAATCTTGGCTCTCCTGTCTTTCTCATCCCTTTGGTCAGAGGCTTCCTAGTCAGGACAGATCTGCCTCTGGAGCTGAGCAGATCAGCGTCAGACACCTGTCAGCACCCGACAGCTTTTGTTGCATCTCATTAAATGTGGACAGGACAAAGAATGTCCTGCTCACGCTGTGTATGCGGCAGGGATGCTTGTGCTCTCTGGCCGAATTGCTAACCCTCAGGAAAGCTCCCGGAGGTGCATCAGCATCTCGTGATATTCTTGCAGAGGCTTCCCCTTTGAAAGCAGCAATGACTTGTGAGAAGTGCACACGTTTCACAATTTCAGTCACTTAGGAATTCTAGGCAAGATGTGATTAATATTCAAGATAAAATGGGTAGAAATGTTTGTATCCTGAAGGTGGGAGAGAGATGGGTTAGATTTTTCATCTGCTGGAAGCTACAGGCAGGAGTTTTCACCTGTAGGGCTAACGTTAGTATCAAGATCAAGTAGCTAGAATCATGGCTAGCTTGGCTGGCACGTGGGTACAAAACGGAGGGTGGAAGAGCAGGCAACTTTGTGGATTGGGTATTTCCCCGCTATTCTAGTTTGTATTTTTTTTAGTGCCACAGGGAAAATACGATGCACACCAGCCTCTAAACCATGTTCCTTTTACACACAGGTACACCTCATTTTCTCTCTCTTTCCTGCTAAAGGCTGAAACCCTATTATCAGGGAGCGTACCTTTCAGGAACTATCCTTACATTTTTCTACCCTACGCTCTGTCGCTGCTCTCTTCCCCTTACCTCCCGTATTGCTGCGGGCGTATTACCGTCAGGGTGACACTCCAGCCTGGGAATTTTGTGAAGGGCTTTCGTATGCTCCACAAACACTTAAGCGGATGCCTTTCTTTATTCAAAACAAAAGCAAACCATACCAAAACACAGGAACAACACAGCGTTGTTGTGTGCTTGATGCATGGTTGAGGCACGCCTGGGTCTTCCCATGTGTATGCAGGGAGCACTGTGGGACTGGATGCCAGACACTTCAGTTCTCAGCGGTACTTACAGTTCTGTTTGACGGTGGGGCACATCTCTCATCAGTATATAATTGCTTCACTGTGTATATTTGCATGGATATTGCTGAACGTCATCTTGCATGTAAGCAAGCTATCACAATGCAGGGCTGTGGCAGTACTGGCGTAGTTTTTCTTCCCTGTCTTGACGAGAGATGAGATTTATTACAGTAACAAAAATACAGGTTCCCTGTTAACTTAGTTTTCAACAGAGAGTGCCGTATGCGGTGTTGCTTAATTGTGTTGGATCAAACCCAATGATGTTCCTCTGGGTTAACTGTGCATTGTCTTCAGCACATGTGTGCGAGGCCCAATGGTTTCTGTAGGCAGTGCACGCCTGGCAACCTCAGTTCTAGCCCCAGAGATCTTTTATGTTGACCTGCTGAAGTGTAGCAACCTGCAAAGGTGTGTCTGAGGCAGGAAGGTTACCGAGCTGGCTATGTACCCAAAAAAATAAAGAATATCTGGACATTCCCTCTTTTTTGACAGTCCCCTGTGTCACTTCTGGAGTTCAAAGCTGACTCAGAGTCTTTAAAGCTTACTTGCTTTCCAGGCAGACTCTCCTCGATTCAGGAGACTCTACCTCTATCAAAGTAGAGAAAAATGATCTTCCAGGTAGGTCAAGTCTTGTGACTTTTATCAAAGAAACTGCAGACCTGTGTCTGGCAGAGACATGGGGGACTCAGTTCTGTAATGTCCCTGAACAGTACTATACTTGGCCAGGATGGCAGTTTGTGCCAAAGCTCAGTGGGATCAGCAGGCTCTGGAAACCTGGAAATGTGTTAATGGACTAAAGCAGCGTACTGGGCACCGTACACTACAGAGCCCCTGTTTAGCAACTGGTGCAGGATACAAGGCCAGATTCCGGTCTTAGGCTGACATCAGGGCAGTTGCATAGAGAAAGAGCAAAGCCTGTCTTGTGGTCTTGGAGGTGGAGCTATCTGAATGACAGGCAGTGACTTAATCAAGAGGTTTCTGCTTATCCTGTTTGTTATATTGAAAATATTGTTCATATCTGCAGACATCCGTTTAAATAGCTGAATTAAATTGTTTGGCATTATAGGCTACAGTACTGTAAACCTCTGCCTGATTTTTTTTCTGCCTCATAAATGGATGGTATTTCAGATATCCATTCTCAGGAAATAGTTCTGCTATAAATAAAATTGCAAAGCTGAGCAGGAAAAGGAGTTGAGATTCTGGAGCCAGCGGCTGATCTGACCTTACTCATTGTGTTTTGGAGAGCAGCGGTTATCTCTGGGTGTCCTACCAACACCTTCTCTCCCCAGGCTCTCTCTGGTTACTACACCTGTGCTGTTGCCTGTCTTTCTGAACCAGATACACGTGATTGTTTATCTGACACCAGTTTACCCCAGCGCTTTCTGACAGCGGTGGGAACAGCCACGAGTCAAACAGCAGGTTTTCTTTGTTGTGCCCAAACTGGAGCATCAGTTGAATGGTTTGCCCCTAAGACAGAATGTAATAAATGCTGGGAGCATTTTTATTTGGTGTTGTATGCATGATGCAGTTTGAAAGCCTCCATTGCTTTGCAACATTGTTCTTTCCCATCATACAAATCGATCCCAGTCAGTTCAGGCCTATTGACTTAGCAAATCCGGTCATCCAGAGTTTCTTTGTGAGCAACTCCTGTCACTTCAAAGGGCCATTAGTTGTTGGTTTGCAGATGGTGATAACAACTTTAAAGAAGTTCTGCTGAATTGTAATTTTGCTTCCT